TGATAAAGTACGACTTTAAGTCTTCGATGGCCATCGGGCTTTTCCTGGGCCATCCAGAGCGCCGCCGTCTTGATGAAGTACGACTTCAAGTCGTCGATGGCCATCGGGCGTCTCCTGGGCCATCCAGAGCGCCGCCGTCTTGATGAAGTACGACTTCAAGTCTTCGATGGCCATTGGCCATCGGCCGTCTCCTGGGCCATCCAGTGCGCCGCCGTCTTGATAAAGTACGACTTTAATTCTTCGATGGCCATCGGGCGTCTCCTGGGCCATCCAGTGCGCCGCCGTCTTGATGAAGTACGACTTTAAGTCTTCCATGGCCATCGGGCGTCTCCTGGGCCATCCAGAGCGCCGCCGCCTTGATGAAGTACGACTTTAAGTCTTCGATGGCCATCGGGCGTCTCCTGGGCCATCCAGAGCGCCGCCGTCTTGATAAAGTACGACTTTAAGTCTTCGATGGCCATCGGGCGTCTCCTGGGCCATCCAGAGCGCCGCCGTCTTGATGAAGTACGACTTTAAGTCTTCGATGACCATCGGCCGTCTCCTGGGCAATCCAGTGCGCCGCCGTCTTGATGAAGTACGACTTTAAGTCTTCGATGACCATCGGCCGTCTCCTGGGCCATCCAGTGCGCCGCCGTCTTGATGAAGTACGACTTTAAGTCTTCGATGGCCATCGGGCGTCTCCTGGGCCATCCAGAGCGCCGCCGTCTTGATGAAGTACGACTTTAAGTCTTCGATGACCATCGGCCGTCTCCTGGGCCATCCAGTGCGCCGCCGTCTTGATGAAGTACGACTTCAAGTCTTCGATGACCATCGGCCGTCTCCTGGGCCATCCAGAGCGCCGCCGTCTTGATAAAGTACGACTTCAAGTCGTCGATGGCCATCGGCCGTCTCCTGGGCCGTCCAGAGCGCCGCGGCGAACAGCCGCCGCAGCTGCCGCGGAAAGGCGATGACGACCGCCTCCGCCATGGCCCGGTGCCAGTGCTGGCCGTCTTCCAGCAGGCCCAGCGCCGAGCAGGCCTCCTGAAAGGTGGCGCAAAGGCGGCCGTCCACTGTCCGTAGATCCGCGTAGGACCGTGGCCCAGGCACCTGGTGAAGCAGCACGCGCAAAAAGAAAGACTCTCCAGCGCGCGGGCTCACACTGAAGACGCGCCCAATGGCTTGCGCGACAAAAATGCCGGCTGCCTCTGGGTGAGGTGCGCGTCGGCGCCGCCGCCGCCAGCTGCGCGTCGGCTGCTGCCAGGTTAAGTAGCGGGGCACCTGGTGGTAGAACAGAGTGGCTGCGAAATCATCTTCAGCACATAGCTTGAAGAAGCTGGTTAGCTTTGTGTCCGCCCCGCGCTGCACCACCTCGTCCAGCCTGTCGCCGGCGGCGAAGCGCAGCGGCTGGTCCTCGCCGCCCAGATGCACCGGCAGCTGCTCCACCGTCGGCGCGTGGTCGTGGACCGGGTAGGCCAGCAGACGCCAGGCCGCCTCCATGGCGCTGAGGTAGCGACTTTGCTGGTAGGTGGCGATCTCGTCCACCACTTCCTCCCCATCCGCAACCCTGAACATCACCTGATCGGCGCCCTTAGTGACATATTTTATCACATATTTTATGCACGTGAAGGCGTGAGTTATTATTTCGACATTCACGTGGCAGTCCAGGGCGCGGCTGAGGAGGGGGTTATAGGGGACGACCCAACGGTTGTCAATGACAACCTGGCGGCCTGCCTGTCGAGCACGACCGTGCGTCCACCGTCCGCTGGGCTCCGGCGGCGGTACTGGGGGTACCCATTGTCGGTCACCGCGGTGACAGCGGCGAACGACTTGGGGTACCGTTTGCTGCACACGCCGTCCGTCATGCAGGAGGCTGCCGGCTGGTGGGCGCCGCACGGGCCGTGCACCATCTTGGTGGTCACGGTGGCGTGCAGCTCTGGCTCCGCCACCGGGTCGGGGATCTCGGCCGACACGAACTGGTCGATTGTGTCCGTCCGCGGCTTATCTTCGGGGTCGAGCCAGATAATAATGTGCGCGTCTGGCAGACCGTCTCTTGGGCCAACAAGTTATTTCGTGCGCATACCGTAATACGTCGTGATCTATTTCACACAAGAAATAATGCGATCCGCATTCCAGGTCTGCTCCTATTTATTCTTTGTTTGCTATAAAGAGCTTCAGGAGAAAAAGCCTGTTCCATTGCAGTGCTAAGTATACAAATACAATAAACTACATATTCTAAACGTCGGAGAAACGTGTACTTCACGTGGCACGGCTGTGCGGCGTGAAAGTGGTGACCTCGCGCTCCGGCCCGGTCTCGCCACCGCGCCCCCAGGGTCGGGCGAAAGTCATCTCCTCGCGCTCGGTCCCGGGTTCACCGTCACGTCCCGAGGGGTCGGGCGATGGTCGGTCAGTGGTTAGTGCGTGCGTAGGTTGCGACACCGTGCCGCCTCGCCGGTGCGTGTGGGCGGTACGGTCTCACCACGGTACCGGCCTCGGTCCACGCCGCCGCTGCGTGGTGTTGCAGCGAGCCTTGCGCCGCCAGAGGCAGTGATGCAGGTCGCATCCACCGCGATCGTGGCACGGTCACCGAAGGTGGCGACGCCGGTCGCGCCCACCGCGACCGTGATTTTCTCACATTCCTCCCTTTTTATGAAGGCGGAATAGCTCCAACCTTTGGGGCTTAACGGTCTGAAACAGCTAAAAGTGATGCACACGCACACACAGGAATCAACCAATGTACCATTAACCAGCGTTTATCACCTGGACTTCCCTCACCACTTGGATCTTTTGGGTCGGTTGGTTCTGTTCTCGTTCCCTGGCATGTTTCCCCATGAACTGTTACTCTTCACCAACATAGCGAAATAAATCTATTAACACGAGTAGAACATTGATAATGAACGGCCGAACGTCCTTGTTTAATCGACATGGAGCATCATTCCGCGGAGGTGTCTGGGTGCTGGCCAATGTAATCTGTAGCAAAAGATTCAGGGTCATGCGGATATGTGTAATACGATCGGATAATCGGAGGTGTGACATGGGCGGTTGTAACACGGCTCATTTACGGCTGCTATATTATATACTGCCACAAACAGCTCATTACCTGGCAACACAGGAACAGAGTGACCTTGAGTAGCACAGCGATTATCCGCCCCTCTCCTTCACACACGCCTGCATGCGCTCAGGCATGCCACTGATCAGGTTGTCCAGCGTCTCGCGCGGGATCTTCCTCCACTCCAGGCGAGCTTGAGGCTGTCTACCAGGCCGTCCCTGGAGGTCGCAGCTCCAGCTGCCGAGCGTCGCAGCGTGGAACCACCACGCTGCGACGCTCGTTGGTGCTGCCACCCTCTAGATACACGTCCTCGTCGTGCTCGGCGCGAATCACGTGGTCGATGAAGGCAGCGGCGCCGGCGTTACACTCCAGCTCCAGCTGCCGGTGGGTGGGGCAGCGGCGCACCGGCATGTCGACGTAGAGCATGTTGGCGTCCAAATTGAAGACGTACGGCTGCTGTCGGCCGAGCTGCGAAGTTGTCGGCCGCGTGCACACAGTCACGCGGAACCGGTGCACGCCCGGCCACGGCTCCAGCGCCGGCAGCGTGTTATTGACGGCGGACTCGAAAAAGCCGTCGCCGGTCATATGCACTGTTAGCGGCACCGGCTGCTGCGGCGCCGCGTGCGGCAGCATGTACTCAGAACACGCGTCCAGGCGGGCCAGTATAAGCGGCGGGCACCGGCGGCGAAACACAAACGACGAATGAATCGCTTCAACCAACAGACTGTATCTCCGAGCCCGCGACACGCCGGACGCTGTCCTGGCAGCCCTCGAAACCAGGGTTGTGCTCGACTCATGAGTCGAGTCAGAGATTTGACTCAACTCGTACTCAAACGAGTCAGGTTTGAGTCGAGTCTGTTACAATAGCTGAACTGTTGAGTCAGATTTGAGTCGAGTCGGATATAATGTTGAGCTGTTAAGTTGAGTCAGAGTTGAGTCGGACAAAAAATATTAAGGTGTTGAGTTGAGTCAGAGTTGAGTCAGTGAAATAACTTTTGACGTTGAGTTGAGTCAAACATTTAACCCTTTACCGGGCACCCATAGAAATAATTGGAAATCCATTCTTCTGGCCCTAGATCATGTTAATTTGAACCTTTGTAAGACTTTTTTACTCATGTGATTGTTTCGAGAACTTATGTTTCCAGTGCAAATCACGACACTTTGAAGTGCTGAAATATGGGGCCTCGCCAGCCTACGGTCAAACTGCCATCGTAAATTCACTTGCGGGAAAATTTACTTGGTACCGAAACCAGTACCTATTTATACTTCAGTAATCACCCCCCATGGTGCTGCCGGACAATATGCTCGCTACAGGCAACACTCGCACATAACTGCTAAATGTAATGTATTTTCCACTGAGGGGCAGGTGAACATTGCACACTCTGCTAGGTCCAATGCATCACACTGAAATTCACCCTGCTAGAAAACATTTTCATGGCACACCAGAAATCACTTTTGCCCCACTGAGGCGCAGTCATACCCTGAAAGCCCTGAATGTCCTGAGTTCTGAATACCCTGGATACCCTGAATGCCCTCCAGGCATTGTTACCACGACACACTAAGAACCGCCCACGGAGGCAACGCCCACCTTGCACGCCCTTTAGGCAACGCGTTCATGGTACTGCAAGAAGCAGTTTCTTTCTCCATTCAAACACAGGTGCACCTTGCACACCCTGCAGAGGAAGTTAGAGCGCATGATGTGCCCCTTCTTGCTGCAGAACTTGCAGGTCTGACGTGTCACATACATGGGAACATGGAACAGCGTTGTGTCGAAGCGCACTGAAGCAGCCGGCGTATGGCTGCGGTGTCCCCGAACGGCTGGAGGGATGTCAGCGCTGCTGCTGGGGACTGCGGATGTCACCGAGGTTCTCAGCAGGGGCCGATGGACTGTTGGGTTCCTGCAGCGGGCTGCGTAGAATACTTCGATCCGGAAGTCCTTCAGTGACATCCCAGTTTCGTTCAGGGCTTGGCAGTCTCAGCGGTATAGGAGTAAGGCATTGGTGAGACAGATGTCAATCACGTATGCGAAGAGCCGCATATACCACCTTTTCGACTTCATCGGTGTTCTGTACAGGTGGATCAGCATGTCACTCTTGTCGATTCCCCCCATGTTGGCGTTGTAGCTCTTTATCACTTCTGGGCAGGGAACATCATCCTTCTTCTTTGTTTCATTGCTGTACCTCTGGCAGGTAGTCACTGGCTCCACCCCCAGGTCAGTGGACAGCATTGTCACGACCTTGTTGTCCTTCCACCGGACTGCCAGAATACCGTCATCACTTGTGACGTAGTCAATGCTGCCACGGGGGACGCTCTTCTTCTCCATGTCCTTCACTGACTTCAGGGGAGGCTTGCCGATCCTGTTGTCTCGCGCAGTTCCTGTGTACCTGCAGCCCTTCCCCTGCAGGTACCTCACGAGCTCCAAGCTCGTGAAGTAGTTGTCCGCGAAGACGACAGTGGTTGATGACAAGTTCATGGTGCTGACCAGGGCAGCGACTATCTGGCTGGTGACTCCCATGGCTTCTTCTGCTGAGGTCATGGTAACACCATGGCTCTGCAGAGTCGTCTTGCCTTGATACAGCACCATGTCATGGACGAACCCATCCTCGGAGGCTCTGGAGAACAGCTTGAATCCCCACTTGTCTGGCTTGTTCCTGATGTATTGCCTCAGATTGCCCGCGGTCTTGCCCTTGTAGCCCACCATCACCTCGTCGATGGACTGCTTGCTGGTTTGGGGCACGCTCTGGAACGATGTGTTGATGAAGCTGAAGAGCGGTCGTATCTTGAAAAAGCGATCAACGCTGCCACCTGCTCGTGAGTTGTCGTTGAAATGCAGTGTCCTCCGCAGCAGGCGAAACCTCTTCGAGGACATCACTTCAGCCACTTGGGGAACCCTGAGTTTCATAGACCAGTAGTCTTCCAGTGATGGAGCTTCCATGACACCCATGTACAGCAGCACAGCGACAAAATTCACGATTTCGTCATCGGTGGTAGAGAAGGTGGTGTTCACGTCCTTTTGGGTGGCATAAAGGTTGGTCTGGTATGCGATGTGCCGGACCATCTGCTCACTGAAGAAGGTGAAAAAGTACTGTTGTGGACTCCTCACATAGAGAGGCGCCGGGTGCTCAAAAGCTGGCAGAGCTGGATAAGAGACGTCCACTTTCTGCCAAGTTGTAGGCGGCTCTTCGCGTCATCGATCAATCACTAAAAACACACATCAATCGCGCTCACAACTCGTCTTTCAAAGTGTCTCTGTATGCCTCTGGCCTCTGTACCACAGCTTACAACTCGCCGAGCACCTGCTTGAAGCCGGTGTAGTTATGGTCGGGTGTCGGGTACCGCCGCCTGATTCCCCACACCACGCAGCAGGGACGGCGCGGCGCACCCGCGAACCAGTGGGGTACCTATGCTCTATGTGTGGGCTGCGAAGTCGCGTCCAAATACGCAACTCGTTTTGTTGTGTTGAGACTCCCGCCTGCCGTGGGCGACATGGAGCGGATAGTCGGAGTGTGGTTTATGATTTTAGGGCGCTCGGATGTCCAAATGAAACGGCCTCCAATTCCATCACACATCGTTATGATATTATCCATTCACTCTATACATACTCACCGATGGCGGGTCAGCCCTCATGCGTCGATAGCCGGCGGTTCTCGGTCGTTTGTTCTCCACGCAACATGGGATCCTTGACTCAAAAAGCGAATCCACTACGGATGTGGCGATTCATGAACGCCAGGACTGAGTTCGTTGTGACGAATTTGCTTCCATTTATGATACGCCTGGCCCCTATGTTGATTGCGGCATCTATAGCAATCCCTTTAGGGTAGGGCTGATAATCCCGGGACTTTTTGGCAATCCCGGGATCCCGGGATTTTAGAAATGCAATCCCGGGATATCCCGGGATCCCGGGATTGAGCAGTTTTTATTTTAACCTGTCTACAAAGCAGAATTTTCTTGCAATATCGTATGTATATGGCGCATCCTTACCATCATAAACACAATACCAGGCATACACCTTCACCCCGAACAAATATAAGAGCATGAATGACATTGATCATTGTATTTCTTGTTAATATTTCGAGTCAGGATACAGTAGACGTGCCTACGGATTGTGGTCGTCTGACCAGCAGCATGTCCTGGTCACATTCACTTGTTACGGTAGTAGCACTTGAGGAAGCAAAGTGCATCAACGACTTCGTCGCCGAGACTCGACCGCACTTTTGTGACGATATTCCCGACAGTGGAAAACACTCGTTCCGATTCAACGCTCGTAGGAACTATGCCCTTCAGCCAGTTGTAGGACAGCGCTACCATGTCTGTCCTTCCTGAGATAGGTAAATTTTCCAATTCTTTCCTTATGGCCTTCGTCATCATCAGAGAAGATTGCGAAAAGTTAATCCCAGACGGGCATGAACTGGTGCCTTGCTCTGGAGCTCTAACCTCATCTAGAGCTTGTTGAAGCATCGACTGAAGAGACGGCGCTGATTCAGGATTATCAGCGTCCATCACTTCTGTATCTACACCTACTTCGGTATCATGCATCTATTCTCCCAATCTTTCCATCATGTGGACAACTAAGTCCTGTGCTTCCTTGCGAGAGGCACTAGGAAAAATATCTTTCCAGTCTCTGTCTGCCGACATTTTGTTATGGAGCGATTGTAGGACTTTAGCCGCACGTGACCGTCTCTGTCGGATGCGCTGTTTCAACGCATTTTAACGCAGTTTACATGCAATCGCGCAGTCCTCCTTGTCAAGCGCGCTTAACATAAACTTTAGAGCAGCTTCAGCCTCCAATAGTCCACTTTCTCTCCTGCATAGCGCTTCTGCTCCGAGTTTCATGATTCTCAGGCAGCGAATGAGCGCAGGTATGGCGGCGTATTCATAATCATCGATCATTTTCATACGTTTGTCTCCTATGTCAATGAGTGCTTTGTGGACAGCTGCTTTGAGGTTATCAAATCGTTCTAGCATGTCATACAAACTATTCCATCGGGTTTTACAGTCTAGCACTAGCATCAGTTCCTGCCCACGCTCCTCTCTGACGTATTTCTGAAGGACTTCATTTCGTACGGGCGATTTTCTAAACCAGCGGACAATGTTTCTAATGCTTTTAACGACTGGAGAGAGCGAACTATGTAGTTCGCGGTGACCAGTAGCACCAGTAGTGTTTTCTTCCACGTTGTCGTCCTCATCCTCGTCATCAACGTCGGATTCATCTGACGAGTTCACCTGCAAGGCGACAATATCCTTACCTTATTAATCTATATAAGTTGTACATATATTAAGGGGTCATCCTGCTGTGTTGGCTCCTCGGATTATTTGTAGATGAAGATTTACGACTCTTTATGCTTTAACCCTCGCCCGCACATGCCATTTTCCCATCCTAGAACGCACATGGGGGGGGTGGTTGCCACCCCCCCCCCCCCGCGCCATTTCGTTCCTGTTGGAGATAGAGCTTAGCAGTAAAGACCAAAAAGATTCTTTGGGAAGAGACGAATCCAATGATACCCAGTTTTACCTTCTCAGGTCAGTCATTGACCTTCCAGGTCAGGTCAAACTAAAAAATGTTGCTGTTTTGGGTCACCGTTGGATATCAAGTGCGCTGCTTATCAAATACCGATGACGATGCTGTTTTCTGGTGCCAAGCCAGCTAGAACCTCTTTGTCACACTATCCGACCAGAATTTTGCTGCTGAGGTCATTTCAGGTCAAGTTAGGTCAAGGTCAATTATATGTGTTTGTATGTCTGTGTGTGTCTGTGTGTATACTGATGTGTGCACCGATTGTTTTTGGGCCCATATCACATGAAATCATGATCTGAGAAGCTTTTACCAAAAATGCAGTAAAAAAACTGCACAAAAAGTAAATTCAGCTTGCCTAAAACGCAATTATCTTAGATGACCTAGGTTGACCTTGACCCTGACCTTGACCCCTGTACATCGTCAAACAATATGTTCCATGATAGGTGGGAGGTAAGACTGGCAAAAAAGGCCGAAATCAGGGTGTCAAAAGCTCACAAGGCCCATGGCAAACGCAAGATGTTGAGAATTGGCCATTTGGGTCATGACATGACCTGAAAAACAAGGTCATATCTCCGAAACCAAAAATCACAGAAACTTGAAATTTTCAGTGGACATTAAGAAAGGATAGACGAGCAGCTATACGAAAAATCAGCCTTCTAGCTCTAAAAATGTTGAGTGCAGAGCAGAAAGACTACCTGGGGGGGGGGGGGGTGGCAACCACCCCCCCCCCATGTGCGGGCGAGGGTTAAGGAGAGTAATTGCGCGATGCGGATGAAACTGAGCTCGATGCTCTTAAGCCTTGTTCTCTGGGTGAAATGTTGTTTGTTCTTTGACTCTTATGAAGTGAAATCGCACAGTAAATGATACGAACTGTGGTGCACAATTTTCTACCATTTCGTCACTGTTATTCTATTTTCACGCTAGGTGCCTATATCAGATGTATGCATAATTGTATACTAAGCTCACCTGGTTAGGTCCACCACCACCACGGTCGTCATCTGCTTGTTCAGAGGTCTGCCCGGCGTCACCCGAGTACAGAGCGTCGACAACGGCGAGGTGAACACCGTGTGCGAAGCAGAGTTGGTGCTCACATGGCAGTGACTTCCCGAATTTCACCATCACCGAAGCTCCGTCGGTTGTGACGCAGGTGACGTGCTTACTGAGTTCAAGGCCAAATTCTGCCAGCTTGCCCTGCAGAAGATCCAGACATTTCTCTGCTGGCATCGATCCGTGACAACGCGCGACACCGAGACCCCACATGTTACCTTCGCAGTGGACAGTCACGCTCATATAGCGACGGTTTTTCAGGGACGTATACTCGTCGATCGTAAGTGAGAACCGTTTGCCATTTGACAATTCTTCGGCCAGCTTCGCCTTCACGTCACACTTCAGGCGAGCACAGTGTTTGAGGACACGCCGGCGGATCGTGTTGTGATGGGTTGGAAGGTTTTTATATCCTTTAGCAGCCAAAAGTCCGCGTAGGTCCGGTGAGGTACAGAAAACTGTAAAAGGTATCCCATCTCTCGCGCACATTCTAGCTAGGATAGCATCCAGGTCGTCGTCCGTTTTGGAAACATAGTAGCAATCTAAGGTCTTCATTCCTTTTAGATGCGGTGCCGTGGTTTTAGCGCTCTCACCTTGACCTTCGCCGGACACGTTTTGCGGCGTCTCTCCGGATCGGGATGGTCCAGCAACACTCATATCACCATGCTTGCTCCTGAGGTGGACGTGAAGTCCTTTGGTGGAACCTCCAGATATTTTCAGTACCTTTTTACAAAGACGACACTTTGCTGTGTGGCCATCTTGACTTCTTAGATAATGTTCCCACACCGCACTGCCTTTAAATTCAGCAAAATCCGACATTTTGGCAAAGTTAGCTATAGCTTATCACAAAGGCACGTAATTAATAATTATTCACTAACGGTAACCATGCCCAGGGCGCCCGGCCAGCCTCATGGATCGTCCAGCCACGGGGCACTGACAGTAACTGAGCCACCAGACGTGCTCCCACAGTCACACAGAGAAGACGGCCGACCTCCTCCCACTCGATGGACTCGAATTCGATAGTCGGCATAGTATGTCATCGTACAAAATGATCTGTTAAACCGAGTACGCGGGGGACGTCGCGGGGAGCGAGAGATGAGCCGAGAGAGAGCTCGTCTCTCGCCACATTGTGAAGGCTGAGACGGTGTGAAACAATGTCAATTAGGTATATATGTAACCAATACTTGTGCATAACGACTTTGCACGGCGTAAGTAAGATCTTTGGACATAAAACTGCACTGTAATGCGTTGTTACTCACTTACCTTTTTTTACATACCTACTATCAGCTACACTTTATGAACGATGTTTC